GTGCTGCACTCAGAAGTCAACTGATGGGACCTCTTAAACCAGAGGGGAACTCGGGGAAGACAGCATGATTCCTGAGATGGGCAAAATGCTGGGTAAGAAAGGGCAGTTACACTTTCAACAAACCGGTTGTCTAAAATGCTTCTCAACATTGGGCACGTGTACGAAGATGACTATCTTCCCTTTCCAAGCAGCCATATATGTTGCTGACAAGTCTCAACATCTCATTTGAATTATCTCAGATGTTTCTATTCCTCCTGTCTTTCTCATTCACATTACTTGTTGTTTTTTCATATAATCAAACTAGTGGCCCAGTGCTTGAATTCGTGCATGGGTGGGGTCCCTCAGGGTGGCTATTGGGAATCGGGCCGAAACTCGCAGAACAATGCCGCCTGCTGCTCCTGTCTGCCGCTCCCGCTCATCCCAGACCCCTGCACCTGCGGCCAGCTCGTGCCCAATTAGTCCTGATCAGGAGAGCCCTGCATCTGGTGCCTGTCCTGAGGAGGGGGAGGTTGGGTTGTGATCGGCCTTCTAGGTGGGCTGTGGACGCCCTTGCTGGCCCAGGATCTGGATCCATCCCGCTGACGTTTGTGCTGGTTGTTGGGAGTCACCTGGCGGCTGCTTTTATATTATTTCTTCCTTATGGAGTGTCTAGGGAGGGGAAGCCGCTGTGGTGCCCAAGCTGACTTCCAGGAGGCCAGAGGCGCTGTTGGGACCATGCCGGTGGTACCGGCCTGTCGGTGCCAGGCCTGTTCTCTGGAGATTGGAACTGCAGGACTACTGAGGAAGTGAGTGGCTGCTGCCAGGCTAGTGGGCCACTGGGACAGATGGGTCAGTCAGCTAAGTGATGCTCCCGCTGTAGGAGCACACTCACCACCAGGGGACAGCTCCTGCATTGAGCATCTCTCCCCTGGTGGTCAGTGCACATCATAGAAACTGGTCGACCAGTTGTGCAGTGGTTGGTCGTTTAGGCTTTTATATATACTAGAGGCCCGGTGCAGACATTCATGTACTCGGATGGAGGGGAGGATCCCTCAGCCCAGCCTGTACCCTTTAGCAGTCTGGGAACCCATGGGGGATGTCTGACTGAGGGCTTAGGCCTGCTCCCTCCAGGACATCCTTAGCACTGTCGTGGAGGCAGGAGAGGCTCCCGCCACCACCGCTGTGCTCGCCAGCTGTGAGCCTATCT